GGGGTGGGATGGGTGGGAGGGTGGATTAACACAAATGGTTCCTATGTTCCTTTCTAGTCCTTTCCCACTGAAAAACTTAATGCAGTGAAAATGGACTAAATTAAATTAAATGTCATGTTGAAGAAACATGTCACATTTTCAGATATTTAGTCAGAGCCCAATTCTTGCTCGTTATAGAATTCATTTATAGTGTAGGCTATCATGGCTCAATTTTCGTTTGTCCCCTTTTTATGAAATGTCACTTTCTCAGGTGATCCCGAGTGGACGAAATGCACTTTGTCTTGCGGTGGAGGGATGCAGAAGAACATGGATAACAGCAGTATTATACGAACGTGCAATACCATGCCATGTCCCGGTCAGTAATTTATATTTGTCTTACACCGGTCTGTCGGGTCTAAAACGATAACAATTTTGTTCATAACTAGTTATGCTTTGCTGCCTGCTCGGCGATTAAGGATGGAAGTATTCCTCTCTCGCTGCTCGGTAAATATCACAAGTTTAAAATCTTACTCCTCCTTGCTCCCAGCTCCCAGCTCCCAGCTCTCTGTGTCATAAAACACCCATGAGTTCGTACCCAGCTTTCTCTGCTATCCGGTACGTGTAATAATAATCCCTCTTTCAGGAGATGCGGGATGCTTGTCTGCTTACCTTAGCTTTGAACATGTTTATAATCACATCGTCTACGACGAGTCACATAATGGCAACGCTGGAACAATGCATGGTTGCGCACGCATCGTAAGTAACGGTAAATTTGGCAAAGGACTGCAACTGAGTGAAGATGGAAATGTCACATTTGATGTAGAAAAATTTAGTAATCGACCAACGGACGCTATTACTATATCTTTGTGGCTTAATTTATCGCAAGTCAATGGTTCTCACGAACTCTTTTTCACATGCGGGACTCCCGAGCTCTACAACATGGGAGATTATCATTTTGCAATCGACGATGGGAAAGTCCGTTGGCTTGAGGAACTCCCTGGAGGTGGAACGCGTTTCAAAGTTTCTTCAAGTATGTGACTCGCATGTTTATCCTTTTGTGGAGATTTCTGACTGAATTTGCTCCAAATCATCGCTATTTTACCTTAGATTTCTTTCACAGCTGTACTTTAAAGCTTTTCTATAGTAAGATATGAGATAGACAGACTTGATGACTTGATTTGGTTCAATGGAGCAAGACAACCCGTGGCTCTTTACACAGAACACAGCTGATTGAGTTGCAGCTAATCCACCCTTGGGAAACAGGGGAATGTAGGGATGACGGAGAGGAAAGGGTTTCTATGTGCCCATACCCCATGCACACTGCAGAAACAATCGGTTTTCATTTGCAGAACTGAAGCTTTTTAGCAAACGATGCCGATCAAGGCTTTGCATAGTGAGTAACAACAAATTATTATCTTGATTTGTTTCACAGATGCTACAATTAAGAGCGGCTCGTGGTATCACATTACAGGGACCTACAGACATACCACAGGGAGGGCACGACTGTACATTAATGGACTCCTGTCAAATGAAGCGCAACTCCTGACGATTTCAAAACGGTCCGTGGTGCCAAACCTAAGTAATACTACGCATGCTCAATGGAAGTGTGCCAATCTAGGCAGTTCAAAGAAAGACAAGCCTTTACAAGGCATCATGGATGAATTTCGGATCTTTAAATGCGAGCTTTTACCACAAGAAATCATGGATTTGTATAGTAAGAATACTGTCAAGAAATTTCGAATTCCAGCAGCAAAATCAACGTTAGTAGAACGACCTCTGTGGAGAAAAGAACCATTTTTCTCCAATGGATGATAGAAAGGAGACCGATATTGGTAACTTAAGGGAAGCTAAGACATATGAAGCTGGTCTAGTGAAAGTTCCCAATATCCTCTATGAAGATGAAGGTTTTTACCTTGTTATTAGTGAGACTTATATCTGAAGTAAACGAGCCTTCTCGATGATGATCAGTTTATTAATCTCATCGATGAACGAGTCTTAACACCCAAGAATACCGCAATAATACAATAAGAGGGAGAAAACTAACGGGCTAATACATAGGAACGAAAATCAACTTACGTAATATAGTGATGAACGAGGCAACAAGTTGGATATAGATTGCTAAAGGCTGTAATAGCTAGCATTCGTAAATAAACTGAAGCAACATGTCCGACCAGTGAATACTCGACCTCAGTGAACTGGTCAGCGGTTGTACTGGGAGTGTTCTTCCAGTTAGCGGTATCTCTGCAATATCTATGTAGGTATGTATTATTTACTCTAAAATATCATTTTAACTATGACAAAAAGACCTCTATGCATAAAAAAAGTTTGTAAAAAATCGATCACTGAGCAGTTGTATCGTCTATTACTGTGCCAGCTGTTGCCATTTTTCTTCGGACATCTTATTTACAACTCTACAGACGTTTAAATTTAACGTAGAGTTTTTCAACCTCGTTCCCTGGATCTCTCATCCTCCCGCCCCCTCTCCTCGCTCGCTCCAGGGGGCTGGAAGATGAGAGATCCTGGGAACGAGGTTGAGATTTTTTAAGTCCAACTTGATTGGTGACATTGTGAAGAAAGATCGGAAATACACTAAAACAAGGAATACCGGAACGATGAGACAGCACAGAGTATTAAAAAAATAACATTAATGAAAGACAAGAAAATTATATAATAAAATGTGTACAAAATAATATTCGATTTTCCTGTGGTTCGCGCCCTTCGTTTGCTAAGTCCGCAGGTACTCTAGAGGACTGATGTTGTCGATGCGTTGCACTCCTTTCGTTCAGGAGCCTAAACACGGGGAAAAGCTCTTAGCCATGGAATAAATAATAGATTAAGATACAAATTAAGATATGGCACTAAGATATCGGAGCTCAGAAATCGCTCACGCAATAAGGAAGCTCCTATACTGAACCGCAGACCAACCAGCTAAAAGATAAATTCTTATTTGTCGAACACAAGTCAGAAACATGAACAAAGACTGAAGGGATTGCAGTAGACTTTAAATTTGCAAATGTACACTGATATAAACTCACCGTTCTTCCTGTTTGAGAAAACCGCGAAGCATCTGTGATAATGTCATCGATCAGCTGAAAATTAAGACGGTGTACAAGTTTCTCTTAGGGGCATCATCAATTTCCAATTAAGGATTGTTTCTATTTGCTTTTTAAAACGGTTTTAATGATATTATTGTGGTCGCAGAGAAATCAACTGAATGCTACACTCTAATCAGGCAGCACAGGGCGAAAACCGTAACCTGTGAACCATGGAGTAAAAAATAAATGTGCATTAACTAATCCTAAAAGCTTTTCCGTTGTGTTTACGGTCCTCCTAACAGGAGCTCAAACTACCACCTTGAAAGTCCGGGCAATATTCAGCGTGCCGTAACGTGATGAAATTAACTAAGTTAGCCAAAGATTTCCGGATAATGCGAACGCTCCAGTTAATAAAAGTTCGGTTGTGAAAGAAATTACCTCCGTCCTCCTAAAATTTAAGTCTAATCCTCATAATAAATTATTTAAGTTTTTTACTACATGGAAACAAACTTTTTCAAGCCAAAGATAGCACTTGCCCAAATGTAAATCAGCAATTGACGTCGTCATTGTGATTGACAACTGTAGGTGACAGTAGCCATGTTAATATCCTTTCTTATCAGTTCAACTTCTTTAAACTTTTAGACTTGGGAGGTAACAGTGATCTCATAGAGCTGTGTGAAAAACGCAAAGGCGAATGTCTGCCTGAGTGCGAAACACTGTCGAATAAAACAACTTTATGGTACAAGTGACTCTCTGTCTGTCTGTCTGTATGTGCTTGCACTCACTCCGTCCCTTTTTTTTTTCGCCCAAAAGAGGAACCACGAGTCTGTCCACGAAGACAAAAGAAGGAAGTACGTTCTGGACCAATATTTAAATCTCATCATGATGGCCTTTCGTGCCACTGGCGTGATTAAAACAGATCATTCAGATCTCCACGAGAGAAATCATCATCCCTCCTTTAACATTTCTTGTAAAAGGATATGCCTCCTTTAGAAAACTACAAGGATATTAATTCTACAAAGAAAGATAAACTGAACCTTGGTTCTTTGTGTTAAAATGATATGCACAGCAGGCAGTATTGGTTGTAGTGAGTAAATCAGTAAACACTTCAAAACCATCAATAATCGCATGAAATTTAAAACGTGTAATGAAAAAACTCAATCGAGGTATAAATGTGTTCAATGTGGTAGCCGCAACTTACTAATTAAAGGTGTCTGTTTTCATTTCGTCTAAATTATTGTGCGTGATAAAAATGAAAAGTAGCTTTGCAGACTTAACAAATTTAACGGAACACGTGCCGTCTATTAACACCACCGGGATACGACTAATAAAGATCTGCCGTTGAAAGCTTCATCATGCTCGTCCATCAGTCACTACTGTTGAAGAGAATGCTACGAAAGCAACTTGTTAACATTCTACTGAAAGTAAGTAATGAAAGTAAGTAATAAAAGTACGTTTCCTAATTAATTTGACACAATGAAAATTTTATTGAAAAAGTAAGCCAAAGAGATCTATTAAAAAAAAAGTGAAAATTTTATTGAAAAAGTAAGCCAAAGAGATCTATTAAAAAAAAAATGAAAATTTTGTTGAAAAAGTAAGCCAAAGAGATCTATTAAAAAAAAGACGAATTAAGTAAGGTTCCTATTTTGGCTCCTGGTTGGAAATGTTTTCTTCTGTATCGTTACACTTTAACTCTGTGCTGACAACCTGCAAATACTGACCCTCAATTTCAAGCGCAGAGTGGCATTTATATTTGTTTTGGACACCGTGGAACTTTATGACCAGACCTATTGTCTAAATCAGAATCTCGACACAATTCATTTAACGACAATTTTTTGTCCCAGTTAACCCCTTACTTAACACTAATTCGCAAAGTCTTTCCAACGGAAACGCAAAATCAATGTGGCCCTTCCTTCAAAGGGGACGAAATTAATTCATGCAATTTAAAGACAACCCGGGTTATTTGAATACCGCGTGTTAAAAAAAAAGCTAAGACTGAAGTGTTTCTGGGAGAGACGCATTTGGACATTGGCTAATGGTTCGCCGCCAGACCTATTACGATCTGCGAACAAAGGGGCCGACCTGCACGTGTAAATTATTGAGACTTTCAAACTTAATTAAATGTCAAGCCACATAGGAAGACCGAATAGGACAACGTAAAATTGATGAAAAAAGTAGTAATTGGCCTAATTGCGCCGAGCGATCAAAACACATTGTTTTACGATGAGGGCATTGTTCAACAGTGCACCTCCCTCAGAGATTAATGAAAGTTTGGCTTGCAATACAACTGACTCTGCACAGTGAGCTGGGAGACTAACTTACATATCAGACTGCTTTTTGTATTTGGATTGTGAAAATGAGCGGGGTCCTATCCGCTTTTGAAGAAGTAGGTATTATATAGTTAGAAGCCAACCGACAGACTTTAAAGGTCATGGTAGATCCACGATTGAAACCTTAAGCTCTTACCAGGAAAAAAGTTCAAGTAGAAGCGATTCCTAACAAAAACCGCCTGACTTTTGACCCTCGAAAAGCGAATTTCTCATCTTGTATTAATTGGAGTCGTACACTTTAACTAAATTCCACATAAATTTTAACGCTGGTCACATGAACTTTAGGAACTGATTATACCGTACTCAAACTGCATACACACGCTTATTAAATTTGCAAACTTCCCTGATGCAATAAATGTATTCCTTTTTTGTGAGTTGAAAATTTACACAGTTTAAGCAGTTTTCGCTAAATTAATTCAGTCACTTCTAAATTTTTATCCCATGTCTGTATCCCCAAACTCGTGTGTTTACATGCATAGGATTAGAGGGTCACGCGAATCGAACATTTGTTCTGTCCTTGAACGATGTTAAGGTTTATCAATATTTCGTCGTGTCAAAAAATGCGTTCTGAAAAATCAAGGGAGATATAAATAAGTATTAACTTTTCAGCGAAAGTCTCTTAAACATCATTCCGAATACGAGTAGATAACAGTAGCTGGGTAGCTGGAAATACTCATTAGACTCGTAGACTTTCAGACAAAATTTGAATTAGTTTAACACTCCTTTTGTTTCATAATTTTCAGCAAAGGCAAACGCAGAGAAAAGAGAGACGAAAATGGAGACGTTTTAGCTTCCTTTGGAAAAACATTATAACCAGAAAAAAAGGTTTTTTGATTTCAAGTATAGGTTAAAAATTGTTATTTTCCGTTAAAACAAACGACCTCCACTCTTGTAGTGACCAAGTAATTTTTTCATAGAATCTAAGAACATTATCGGTTTTCTTCATTACCAAAAATTGCTCCTCCTAAGTGTTATTACATGCTGAGGCATTCTCAATTCGGTGATTAACGAAGAAGTCCTCAATTACACAACTTCCTTATTCTTATCACACTGTCGATAAAAGTTTAAAAAGTGCACCTGGAGATTCATACGCAGTGTTGCGTTTCGAAGGCGTCATATCTGTCAAAGTTGACATACTTCCATTTTCAACATAACAACTGCATTTCAGAGGTTTTTTTTTTATCTGGGTTTTAACTTGTGATTACTTTGAACCATGTCTCGGCCAGCTTTTTATTTGGAGGATGATGCAGAACTTTAACCCGTGTTTAAAACTGATCTGGTTATTGGGATACATTGCGCAATTTGTTTCAAGCTCAGATGACATTGAACTGTTAAGTTAGCTAACAAAAATTAAAACTGGCGGCACCCATTTAATTTGTCATATCCACCTTTAAGGCAAGTACTTATCAACATTTAAAGTTTGGTTTTCGCTAAATTTAAAGCGACAAATGTTGTGAAACTATATTCTCCTAATTGTAAAGATCATGTATTATTGAACACAATTTTAACAGTGAATTCGTGGAAGGAAAAAACGCGCTACGTCTTAAGTATAGCAATGCTTTCCAAAAGCTTAGAGCCAGAGTAAAAGTTAAACAAAGACAAGGTGTTCTGTAGCTTAACATTTGAATCAAAACAGCTAATTGAAGAAGAAGAGAACCTTCCATCCCCTTCTCAGGAAATCATTAAATAAGAGAGTAAACTTTAAAGCTAGTTATTTCTACTTTAACAGTTTGTAAAATCACAAACAGGCTGTTAATTTTCAAATGTTTTCATGTTTGAAGCTTTAGTTTTTTGATCGCGTGTCTCAGATGCACTTCATCAGAAAATCGAAATCCGTGAGAACCTCACGAAACCCGTAGGCACAGACACCACTTTTGAAGCTAAAATTAAACCATAAATACTTCATGGGAGTTGTTAAAGGTAAATCCCTTCTCGGTTCCTTGGACGAAAAATCTGTATGATAACTGTACGATTTGCAAGAGGCCGGCTGGCTTTAGGTACATGGTCAATCAAGTTTTCTTTTCCTTTTGCTTTTTACGAAAAAATCCAAACAATTGTCTTGTGAAATATTTGCACGTTTTTTATTTGATGTCTTCTAAATAGTGAAAAGGCCACGACGTCCACTGTACAAATACAATGTCTATGACGAAGTTCAGCAACGACTCGAGAAGACACTCTCGTTCACAAAAACGATAGCAACACAAAATGAAGTCTGGTGTGAGAGAGTCATTAAGCTTGACAAAAACAATTTTAATTACGCAATAATTACCAAGGGACTAGTGAGGATTTTGTGAATTACGCGCACTTACCAAACGCTAACCCTATGCGCGTTCGAGACTTCATCTACGCGCATTGCGAGTGTTCTAAACAACTTACGGAGATAATGATGCCACTAAATCGATAAAATGTTCCATATGTTGCTTTCACAGAGAACTCTGAATTAAGTGTGGTAGTTCTTGAGCGGTCGATCGGTTAAATACGCAGAATATTTTTGACCAATCAGCGAGCACGCTTCAAGTTAAATATACCATACTGCTTACAGAATGCCCAAAACAAACGTTTACTTGCTCGTCTGGAAAAACTTATCTAGTTTTAGCTTCATCTTCGATTCAAATACTCCACTTTATTGTGTTCATAGCTTAATTAGAGTTAGTTTGAAGGAACACGCGGCAAATTGTCGGCAAGCGTCTAGTCCGTTAAGTGGTCCACCCAAGCACTTTCAGAAGACAATAAACTTCTCAGTCAGTTACAACAATACAATTTATTGCTGTCACGAAAAGCTGTAATTTACCCCAAATTCTATCTTTACTTAGAAAAGCACTAAATTTTCTATCACGAAGCTTCGGTGTCTTATATTAATACGAAAATTACAGTTTTTTCACGGTTTGTGGGTGTCCTTGTTAGTTCCTCTGCAAAAAAAATATTTTTGAAGTCGACGAGTGATACAAGACTGAAATTCTTTAGGGTCTCAAAGGAAGAATAACGAAATTACAGCTTCATTGGAGATGCTTTAAAATACCTCTGGTTGAGAGATCTACAAATTGGCTCATTTAGTATTGGGTAATGGGTATTAAGAATTACTAATAGCACTGGTTTGAACAACAGAGCTGAGAGGGAAAAAAGCCAACAAGGTTTGTTTATACTGAAAAAAACTTACGTGACAAATCGGAAAGGTGCAAGTAAATGTCTTCGTCTTCTAGACGTTTAGATTTTAAGAAAACTTTAATTTGTTGATCGCAAAATGACCAAAATCTTTGAAGAGATGTCGAGGTTAGCGAACAATTAAATTTCGTTTGAGCATGCCAAGTAAACGGTGCTGCCATGCGCCACTCGAGCATACAATTCCATCATAAGGTTAGAATAGTATAAATGAAGTAAGGTATCTCTGTTAATCTTTTTTCAGTTTCCACTTAAGCCGTAGAATGCATCGGGGAATTTCAGTTTAATTTTGTTTGTTTGTTTATCACCAGACTAGCTATGTAGGGGGGTTCTGTGCCCGACCTTTCGTGAGGTTTTCGTCTCTTTGTCGGGTTTCGAAAAAACTCTGGTTTACAACGACCTGTCGATGGATCTTTTAAAGAAGAACTTTCGAAGTTGCTTGCTCTTGAGTAATTACTGGGGAGTTTTAAAAGAGAGTGAAAAAGGCCACGAAACGAAAATAAGATAAAGAGAAAAATGAAAACCAGATCCATAACAATTAAGCGCGCCTTAAAACAAAACTCGCGGTTTGAGCATTACTGTGAAATAATAAAAACGACCGACCCAAGCGTGCCTGTAAAGCTTTCCAAACAAAGAGAAACGCACGTTTTCAAACTTATTTGTTTGAAACCTGCGGCTTTAAAGTTGTTTGAAAACAGAGAAGATAAATGGCCTCCAACAGCGGGGTAATCGACTACAAATTATGGTAATTTGCACGTCTTTCGAGATATAAATACCGAATACTTTTACTCGAAGGATTATATTTTATTGTGCGTGTTTTTTTTTTTGCGATGATACCAGGAGGGTTATTACGTCTAAGAAGTATTTTGTCGAAATATGTAGTTGTTGTAACTGTGTAGTGAGTTATCTTCTCATAATGAAGCTGTTTGAATGACTTGATGTTGAAGGAAGTTACCACAAAAGACAAATATTCTGAGCTAATTATTGCTGCTATTAAGAAATTCTAAACATGTCTGCATTCAGCTGGCCGTGCATTTAGAATGGGAAAAATAAACTCGGATTTCACTGTTTTACTGAATATTTTGGAAACAGAGGGGCCGATTTTGCATGAGCAAGGTAGAATAGTTTAGCTACCGCCTTATCTGTAATTAGAAAAAAAGCTTTTTCTTGTTTTTTTTTAATCTGATTTCGCTCCTTATTCATTCATACCTTGTTCAGGATTAATATGCATCCTTCAATTATTTCTCATTATGGCAATACAGGTGCAATCAACAATAGGTTTTGTTTAAAATGCGGCTTTTCTATTGGCGTACAATCGCATTCAACACTTGTTGTTTGGTTAAACTTCAATCGATCGATCGTTGGATCTACTCCAGTTATTCAAAAAACACAATAAAGAGAGCGCGTGCGTTCAGTTTAACAAGTCAATTGACGGGCCATGCACGTGTCATATACGAAACCATTTGCTGCGGCTTACAATAAAACAGCGAAAGCACAATCACCATAAAGAAAGACTGATCAACGCAAGTCGGTCACTACTTAACGCAACGCAAGTTTGTTTTCACTACAGATCCAATTAACACTTCTTTCGAGCAGATCATAACCCAAGAGGCAGCTTTGCAAAGCAGAAACCTGAAGTAACGGTCAAGACACCCAACAGGAAAACTCTAAAAAGTCTGAAATGCCGAAGTCTTTCCTTTTAAAGAGACGAACTCCCCAAAGCCCTACAAATTCAAGCCATCAAATCCTTAAAGAACAAGGTTTGTGGAAATTTATGACTTGCTTTTTAACCAGTCAGAAATCAAATTTCTGTTTAAATAACGATTCGATTGAGCGTCCAAAATGTTCTAATCCTTAAAGTTACGAGTTCATTTTTTATATTAAGATAGTTGATGTCAACTTGCTGTGGAATTAATTGAAACAAAGCTGTTATATTGGCCGCTTTCTGTACAGTCCTTCTGAAAAAATTGTACATCGGCTGACAGCATCTGGAAAACCGCAAAGTACAAAAACATCCTTGAAGCAAAGAGTTTTATCAACTCACATAGTTTGTTGATGTTGCTCCAGCAGAAGCAGAATCAAACAGAAAACTGTTGAAAACATCCTTTGAAGAACAAACCTACAGACCTCTGTACCAGGAACCAAAGCCAGAATCTAGAGCGGAACTATTGGTTCAGAGCTCGGTTTTTCAGGGAGCAAGTTACAATACAAGAGCTTTGGCCATAAACGACGAGTTTGTTAACATTACAAGTGGCCGCCAGTTCTCCATTTTAAGCCCATTTTACCACTTCGGAGCTCCTGACAGATTGGCAAACGCCCTCCATATGCATCCTGCCACAAACGAGCATTTCCTCTGGAGAAATGAGCTCAGCTTTCCTCCTACTCCAGCTTGTTGTGAAATTTATAAGCGCGGGGTTTCTCTTGTAACTCACCCTTCGATTGCCATTCCTGAGAAAGTCAAAGAGCCCTACCAGTGTGATCAGTGTGGTAAGATTTTCAAAACCAAATATACTTTAGCTATCCATTTGAAAATGCCAAATCACACTTATGCGCGGCCATTCGTATGCAATACGTGCGGTAAAGGCTTCCGCTTATCCTCCACGCTTTGCAGGCACAAGATTATTCACACAAAAGAAAAACCTTACAAATGCCATGTTTGTGAAAAAGCATTTAATCGCTCGTCTACACTTAAGACGCATATCCGAACCCACAGCGATGAGAAAGAATTCGTTTGCGATCGCTGTGGCAAAGGTTTCCATCAGAAGGGAAATCTACGAAATCACATTCTCATTCATACGGGAGAAAAGCCCTATAAATGCAGCCTGTGCCAGAAAGCTTTTAACAAATTGTCCAATTTGAAGTTCCATATGCATGTGCACACGGATAATTCGCCATACAGGTGTAAATTTTGCAAAGTTTCGTTTTCACGAAGATGCGATTTGAAAAGTCATATTCAGAACGCACATGCTGGTCAGGATGCAAAGTGAGTCTGTAACTTGACTCTAAAGGAAGAGAGGACATAAACGTTGAAGGTATTACATAGTCGGAGGGCTTTTAAGTGATATTAAGAGATCCTAGATTACAAGCATCGTATAATTACACTAGATTTTCTTTTTTATTTTGCTAGAACTTCCTTTCTTTTAGCGTGCAAAGTCGAGGAAATTTTATTTTAGTGAGATACAGAAAACTTAATTCCTTTGTAATTTTTCTTGGTAGCTATTCATGTAATTGTAAATTGTGAAAACTGTAGAAGCACTTGTCAAATCCTACAAACTGATAACCCAAAATAAAAACAGTTTCTTAATTCTTAATCATTTAGTCTAACAAAAAACACTTTTAAATAACGACAAGGTTCTGTGTTTAGCAGAGGTACTTGTGTTTTCTCTCGTGTCAAGAATTCGAAGAATACTTACTTGGCTTATTATAATAAGAAATAAAGGTAGTTTAGTAGCATGAGCTGTAGATATTTGTACATAGTCTTATTTGAATACTTGTAACCATAGTTAGCTCGGATAAATGTCGAAATAAATGTACCCTCCTGTTAAGACTATCTCATGAATTCTAATTTCTTGACGTTGTACTTCACATGCCAGTAATTAGTCTGTGCTTATATTTAACATAATATCCAATGGTTTTCTTCCCGTTGGCCCGGTCTCGAATTCATACTCTCTTTTCGCGATTATCGTAATATTGATGAATTTTTTTGCGACAGCAAAAGTACTTATAATATTACCGACTTTTTTAGAACCAAATAGGCAGACTTTTCCATCTGCTCTCAGATTTACTCTCAAAATGAGAGTAAAGTGGATGCAAAATAGGTCCTTTTTGTCAAACGGGTTTTTAATGAAGTAAACACCTTTCTCAAAAGAAAAAGATGCGTAACATGTACTTCCTGTACAAAGATATTCTCAGTTCTACGAGAAGAACTTAACAGTTTAAGGTATAACGCTTTGCCATCTGCGAGTGCGTCATAAGCGATAGCGTGCGAAACGCCTGCAATGGGTCGTTTTACTAAGGTCAGACAATGCAACTCTTCCCAGCGAAAAAAAATCATGATCATCACAAACTAGTATACTTTAGGGCTTAATTGTCCTGAAAAGTCACCGTGGTAGGCAACTGTGTTCGTGGGAAGAGATGAAGAAAACAAAGGGGTAGTGTTCTGAATATATGTAAAAAAATTAGGAAACCTGCAGAAGTTATAAAAAGGACTAACTTTTTTTTTACCAAACCATCATGGTAAATGTTTTTAACATGGCAGCAGCAAGGCCCTAGATAAAATTAATACCAGCAAATGGTACAAGAGAATTTCTTTCCTTTTCCCTCAAGGGACGATTTCAAATACAAGGAGCCTCTGGAGTATTCTTGTTAATAAGGGCAGGTGAAATATTTGTAGCAATTACTAAGTCGAGTAGCTACTTCGCATTTTTTCACTTTTTTTATCTCTTAGTGCCATCCCTCAATGTGTTATTTTTGCTATTATTCGTTTAGCTCCACTAAGCTTCACATGAACTAACTGAAAAGTAAAGTTAAAAATGCGTGCTTTCCTCAAGCGACAATTTAGTTTGCACCACCCTACACAGAAAATTGAATCAGTCGCAAATGACGCTTTCAAAGGAAACCTGCTGTTATTAGATCGCAAACACGAGGAATGGCTAGTGTTTCCAACATTAAAAATTCATTCGTTCTTATTTCCTCTAAAAGTAACGCGTATTCTTCTCCAAGTGCGGTTTAGAAAGATCCCAACTTTGAATCCTTGATAACTTTCTTCTCAAAAAAAAAAAAAAAAAAACTTTCAGTGTTAAAACGACTTCTGGGAGGCAAGCGGTAAATTAATCTTCCAATAATATATTATGATATTTCGTTGCGGGCGAGTTTCCCGGCCTCGGTAGGTATACGCGTTGATATATATCGTACAAAGAAATAGCATGGGGTTGTTAAAGAAGAAAATAAAATAAAAACAAAAACTCAACTTTATTTTCTAAATTTATGTTCACAGAATTGAAGGACGCAAAGAGTTGTCCAAATTAGGTTTCGGAGACAGAGCTCCCGCGACGCTTGTATTATGATATTGTGATAGATTATCATAGCCAACTAAGATTCGAGACAGGGTTCTTCGAGATTATCACAATAGGTTAAAATATTCAAAAAAAGAGAAAACTACGGAAAAAAAAGAGAAAAATGAATAAGAAACTCTCAGCTGGCCGATACATCAAACAACTCAACAGAATAAAGAGCGAAGCGTCACATAACAGGTGACTTCAACCATATTCTCGGTTTCAAATTTTGAGCGCACCTGATGCAAGTACAGTGTCAATGGTAAAACCAACAGTCTGCATTGATCTGGAGACGTTCTCGCAGGAGGCAAGGTTATATCACCCGCGAGATTGGTTAAACCATCAATTAAATTTCTGTAGATTTTAACCAGTCGCTTTGTGACAGCTGACGAACTTTATGATCTAAGTTTAGATTCAAATATTAACTGTTGATGTCAACATTGCATACTTTGAACTGATATTGAGCACAAATTTGTCAAAGGCTCTGTCAAGTGATCTAAGATTATTACAGTTGGAAATTAATGAGTCTGTTAACTGTTATTACTTTTGTTTTTACGTTGACGTTCATCACATGACATGATTCACCATTTTACATTTTATCGTTTTCATAAGCGCTACATAAAAAAGTTTACAAATACATTATTTACAAATACGTTATTTACAAATAATGTATTAAAAAACGACTTTTTTAACGCCTTCAATTCGTAATTCGTGTTTGTTTGTCCTTAACATCGCCCGCCTAGATTAGCTCGCTATTTGCAGGCGGTGTTTATTGTAAGTAATTGTTTTGGAAGACCTAATGAACTTGTAAACTTGTAAACTTACACAGGACGACTGCGACACCTGCAAAATTTGTCATCACATTAGAGAACAAAAATGATGCACCACGCAGTTTTCTAGTGTTAAATCGGTTATTAAGATGGTTTGGGTTTAGAAATCCGTTTTTAGGATCAGGAAGGGTATAAAACTACAAACTAATCGATGAGAAATAGGGAAATACGCTGAAAATTTCTGATAAAACGATCAGCGATAGGGGATCATAGTTCAAAAACAAATTTCTCCACGAGACTTTACACGTTACGCGTTTACACGTTTATTTAACAATAACAATAACAATAAATCCTTATTCCCCTGGCTCCGCAGATAGCAGTGCTAATCGAGGCGGGCCAGGATAATCAGTAAAAGAATAGGAAATTCACACAATTAAAACTACTGATGAATAAATAGATGGGAAATACGAAAACAAATTAAGTCTACGGAAACAACTATGTGGTTAATTCAAGTTGACAGCGCATTATGACCAAAAGGAAAAGCTCTGGGAACTGGCGAAGTCCTTAACTATTTTATTAGATCAATGGGTACACTCTCTGGCGATTACAAGCGTGTTCTTCAACCTTCTTTCGCGCCTCAGTTTTCATACCGGTAAACCGATAGTCTCAATTGTTTAAACACCCTACAGATATTCATTGTTCAAAGATCTAAAAGTGTCAATTCTGTATTTTGGCCAAGATCTCCTCTACAATGATCGCTTGTCTATAAGTGATGTGATTATAAAAAAAGTTACCACTAAGCAAAGGATTGGAAGAAAAAAGCCACCCTCGATTTAGCTTTTTACATCGAAATAGACTGAAATTTATCACTGTTACAATAATAAGTGATCTGTGAAACATAAATCATATTTTGCGCAATAAACTTTAAAATCTCATTTCCTGTCGTCAAATTCAAGCTTGCATTTCTTGTTACCAAATATATTCCAAATCTCAATGACCTTGGCTAATCGAAGAAAATGAAAAAAACTAGCTTGATTAATCTCGCTTAACAGAAATAAACCAAAATTTTTATGAAGGGAAATTAGCAGTAACAATGAATGATTTTATGGGTATCAAGGTCCTTAAGCGCTCACAACCCAACCGCGTTTATTTCTTGTAAAGAACAAGGGGCTGGCCCGAGCTTAATGTTACCGACAGGGAACCATCGGAAGAAACAGTTAAAGTTTCCGAGGGATTTAAAATATTTCCGAGAGTATCCCCCGGTTGGTATGGGGTATCCCTGATCGAAATATTAATGGATGTATCAAGGTTGGTTATGACAATAAGTGCGCTTCCTTTGGAGAAGGCGTAAGCATCAGTCTGGACGTGTCTCTCCATCTATCAAGGTAAACAAAAACATATGAAAGTGAATGATTCGATACCTTAATAGCAGCATAGGCAGAATTGCTAAGGTCTACAGTGTTACTAAGGTTGAGATCGGACGCCAGCATTATCAGGCGCCTCTGGCATCCGCTTTAGTCCATGTAACCACCTCACCTTTTCCCCCTACACATCCCACCCCAGGGGAGGACATCCATCACACAGTAATCTCGTGTGTGAGAAATTAACGTCTCCTACCCCTAACCCTGGAGGAGACCGGACCTCCATTTTATTCGACCTTATCCGAGAAGACTAGAATATCTATCCATTTCATTGATGATATAGAAAGGTAGCAAATTCTCCTCAGTTATTTTAAGACCATGAGTATTGGTCCGGCCGGGGCTCAAACCCTCGACCTCCCGCACAACACAATCCGGCTCTCTAACCAATTGAGCTAACCAGGAGGCGGTCAACGTAAATTAAGGACTGCGCTCGACGAGTTTTTCGAACTTGCTTTATGAACGAGCTAGTCAGATAAGATACTAAAACTCTTCCAATGGAATTATGTCTCTGATGCACCAAAGCCAATAATTCGAGTATACTATGAAAATATTTTTAAAATCGGAGAGGCATTCTCTTCATTTTATTTACTAAACCAAGACTGACGCCCGCGATCTGTGTCTCGGGGCCGGCAAACCGCAACTGCACATGCGTTAGAAAGGTGCACAAGATAGCAAGAAAGATAGAATTTGCTTATAAACATCGGTTTTTCTGTGATAGTGGAGTGCGATTGTCTGGTTGAGAGTTGTCCCGAGAAGGACTGTTATATATGGTTTCTTTATGCGCGTTACCTGTTTTTCGTGTATCCATTCATTTCCAAGAGATCTTCTGAATTGTGCAAGTGTCTGAATAAACTTGTACAGTGGGTTTGCGGTGGACATATAAGGCCAAAGAGATTCACGGTTCTTTGGGTCGGAGCCACCGTTAAATCCTTGTTCAGTTCCGTAGTACACTATTGGGATCCAGTCCCCCATCATCACAAATGCAAGAGCGTTCTTCAGTGATGTGTGACTTGGGTTAAGATTCAAGAATCTTTGATTGTCGTGGTTATCCAGAAAGCCTCCAAAGACTGATCTGGTTAAAAGCAAACAAATCATTATCTCCTGTCTTAGATTAAATTCTATTTGTAGCTTCTTCAGTTGCAAGACCATACAACTTGTCTGAGACCCACGGCTCAAAGCCAGTATCTAGGCAACTGCGGAGACTCACATTGCAAAGTAGAAAAAGACTTACCTGTCCTTGTAAATTGTATAGGAACTCTTCACAGCAGCACTAAGGGCAGTAAAATCTTTTGATTTTTCCTGGAAGATTTTCCGTAGGGTCCAGTACATTGGATAAGCTAGCACAGAGTCAATATATCCTTGGTATTCCGCCACATAATCCATAGATCCACAGGGTGGAGGACCATTATTTGCCTCCCCGATCATAAACGCTCCTCCAGCTTTACGAAACTCTGCCCAGAATGCCTTTGGAACCTGTATGGCAGTGTCCAGGCGATAACCGTCAAAGCCAAACTCGTCAGTTAAACCTTGAATCCATTCGAGGAGCGTTTTGGCCACAAATGGATTATTTTGGTCAAGATCAGGTAGGCCAGCCAGCCAGTAGTTCTCGATCTTCCACTGGTCTTTACATTCTTGAGGCCATTTTATGTAAGGATGTTTGGGGTGGTAATGACTAGATTCATTAAAAGGAATAAGATCATTAAAACTAGCTTCAGGTGGGTAACCCATGTGGTTGGCCACAAGGTCAAGCATTACCCAGACTCCTCTCTCGTGACAAGCTGTTACTAGAGATTTCAGATCATCTCGGCTTCCAAAGTGCGGATTTATTTCAAATATGTTCTGAGCCCAGTAACCATGGTAACCTTTATCGGTATTTTGCACAATAGGTGAGATCCATATAGCATTAGCGCCCAGGCCCGTTATGTAGTCCAGGTGCTTTTCAATGCCTTTGAACGTGCCACCGCAGTAGTTACTTAAATCACCACATTTATCGGGCGGTAAATCTCCAGAGGGGGCAAACCGATCCGTCAGGAGCTAGAAAACAGGAAAGCAAGGTTCAGCGGTTACGTTATGATATCAGAAGAGATGATGTCACGCTACGCTTGCCCCTGAGGAATTGCGTGACATTTCAAACAAGAGCTGCGATGGAGACATTGCATGGGTGTGCCATTGACCCTTTGACTCACAGAAGTGATTAACATATAGTTTCTCCCTATAATACCCATGCGCCACCCACCAAAGTAGGTTAATGAGAATACCCAAGTTTACCATGTACAAGTTGTTATTTTGATCTTACACCAAATTCTCGTAACTAATTTACGAGGAAAAGTGTAGCAGCTGGAGGGGAAAATAAACAATCAGATCTTGGGAGTCAAACGGTTAAGATGAGAAATAGCTGTGCATTCGTGACTATGATTTCTGTCATAAAGCTGACACCTCCCTTAATTCCCCTCCCTCGGTTAGACAGTTGGCTTCTGTCACACTAACCTGCTCAGCAGTTGTCCCTTGAACTGCTATTAGGCGTCTTTTTTTTTAGGTAGAAAGGCTAAAAAAGGTTAGTCCGGAAATGTGCTGACGAGAAAAGGGGAAACATTGCAGTTACCACTGGTCATCTTTTACGTTTACCCTATTTATGCGGAACAAGGTGAGTCAGCGGGAATTGCACGATTTTGAGGGCATAAGCGGGCTAGGGCAGACATATTACCTACAGGTGAAGAAAATCGGGGTTTCTTTTTAGCCCCTTCTTCTACCCTCCCCCAGCCCCCCACTACATCGATCCACGTGTATATGTTTTTTTTTTGCTTCGTAACAGTTGCCTCGGGACTCATCTTAGCCTCTTTCCGTATGACTCTAATAGGAAACAAGTTATAATGCTCCCGTTTAGAGGAGGAGACATTAGGAGATAAACAAAGTAATACCGCCAACGAAATCAGGTAAATACCGCAATAATTCAATCAGAGTCGAAACTCGATGTCATGCCGCAACCATTACTGTGAACGTTTCGTGACACACTTAGGGTAAATAAAACGGAAATAACAATTAAGAAATTGCCGACAAAAGAAAGGTCAGGTAATTTCAATTTCAGCCTGTTTACCAAACAATCGGAAACTGGAAAAGGCTTGGAAGATGGTGGAAGAGTTTGAAGATAAGTTGTCATTGACCGTCCCAATTACTGAAACACTGTATCCTGCAGGTTCGGAGAATACCGCACTACTGTAATTCGAGATTAGAATTACCGAATTTCGCATGAAAAAATTTCTAATACCGCAATATCCCTGTAGCTACTTAAAGCAAATTCATTTTTTCAGATTAATGGAGGACTCAATGAACGAAAAATTTTTCATTGTAAAGGAAAATTTTCAGTAAGGTATAAACTTTGTCATCTAGTAATGTAGGCATGTTGCAACATGTCTTTGAAGAATTTTTAACCCGAACTCGACCCTCACATGATCAGCCCAGTTTTAAGCTAATGGTTTGAAAGTCTATATATCTTCAGCAATCCTAACCTGATATATTATCCTTCCTTTCCATTCTTCAGCTGTTTTTCCACCGCATTGATTAAAACTGATTTGAATAAAAAGCAAAAATGTGGAGATTGTGCGAAGCGATAGCCTGTTGCAGCTTTCCATGTTGAGACGCTAATACGCTAAATCGAGGGTGCGAGGTCAGACTACATTTAGAACTACGCCTAATTTAGAACATAAATCACGACAAGCGCGTGCTCTGATTGGTCAATCTATTCTCCACTGTTTGCTCATGGGCGCACGCTGCCCACGTGAGCGAATGTATTCGAGTAAGGAAATGTTTCGTAAGCAGTTTTTTTTTTTATGTTATAAAACAAGTGGTAAACACAACAGCGTAAACTATTGAATTATGGATGCATTAGGGAGGTTTGCTAAGCACTGAAGAAACCTTTTTCGCGCTTAGCAACCTCCCGCGTGCACCGTAACTCACTCGCTGTGGTGTTTACCCTTATTTTGTTAAACTATGGCACGCTGTGTATGATTGGTCAATTCAAACTTCATTATGGCGCCAGTATTGGGGACGGCCGGCAGCAAGAAGACGTTCTCTTCACCGAATTATCGCCTGGTAAGGGGTGGCACAGTGGTGAGAGCACTCGCCTCCCACCACTGTGGCCCGGGTTCGATTCCCGGACCTGGCGTCTCATGTGGGTTGAGTTTGTTGTTGGTTCTCGTCCTTGCTCCGAGGGTTTTTCTCCGGGTCCTCCGGTTTTCCTCCCTCCGCAAAAACCAACGTTCCAAATTCCAATTCGATCTGGAACAGTGGACAAGAATAGCTACCCAGTGGATGTCCATTGTTAAATCATTTATTTATTTATTTATTCATTTATTTAAGACGTTAACGTTTTGTAAAACAACTTTTTTTAATGAAAGTCATGTAAAACAGTTGGTGGGGTCACTTGATTTACCGGAGTTAACGGTTGAATAACTTCCTCTAATTTAGTACACAGGTTATAATGTAATAAAATAATTAAAATTTTTCTTTCTTATACTTTTTATAGAATCAGAGTGGAAACAGGAGTTAAGCCAAGGCGTTAAGAAATTTTGGTTTCACTCTCGATCGCGAGAGAAACTGCGGTTGGAGTTGAAAAGTGTGCACAAAATAAAATACTGTTTCGGCTTGAGGAGAGATTGTGGGAGCTTTTTCACCAATTTGTAGTGTTTGATTTTGATTGAAATCCAGTGGGTTTACTTTTATTTTATGAGAAGGATATCCTTGGGACAAAACGAACGCGATTCTCTTGATAATGTTTCCGAACGGACTTGTCGCATTCAAAAGAGCAGTTACTATTGATTATTCATTTTTCCGGAACCATGGCAACACTGCTCTAGAATGACTCTTTACAGCAATTTGAAGTGAACGAGTGTCAATAAATTACCAAATGGTATGGAAGTGAATTTGTAAATATAGCGAATTTTTCTGTTCATTCGTGAAACATTCGAAGCCGAATGCGGATGTTGCACGTGCAAGAGAAGCAATGTATCATCATCAATCGGAGTTGTTTTTCTTCGATCAGTGTGGCGCGAGACGAAAGTACAAACGCTTTCGAAAGCCAACCGAATTGTTACCGTTCTCGTTGCGTCCCACGGGGCTCAGCGGAGCGGTTAAAGTTGAAGCTTATCTTAAACAACAGCAGCAAAAGGCTGGCGATACTGCCCAGGGGAAGCAGAAGAATTTTGCGGCTGAAAATAGCGAGACCCCCGAGTTTCGGCCGGCTGGTTCGCTCAACAACTTTCCTCTACCGAAAGCTGATCACTCTGCAGAGATCGACGGTAAAAGACCACATCCTGCTGCAGGGAAATTATTGAATTTACCGGACATCGGCTTAAACTCAGGAGGTTTTAATTCTCCACTAGTGATTAGGAGTTTTGAACAACTGGAAGGAGATGATGACGAAGAAGACACTCAGAGATTCTTGTTCGAGGAGAATAAGTTCGCCTCTCAAAATCTGCTAGCTCAGCTGGGACGATTACTCGACCAGATTCATCGACAACAATTAGAAGAACTAGAAGAAATTGAGTCAACTAGTGTACATTTTAGTCGGGTTGGTAGTCCTGTAGCTGAAGTTGGTGAAGACAGCATTGTTTCTGAAACTATTCGCAGTGGGGGAGTTGTAATTTCTTTACCGGATGAGTTGCACAAGAAGCTAAGTGGTAATTTCGAAGAACTTTCAGCTGGGGCTTTATATCTGCGGCGTGAGTGGCAAACTACAAGCTACAGAGAACAAGCGATCTTGCAGAAACGTTTAGGGCTCATTTCTGAATCAAATACCAACGTAGACGCTTCGAAATCGGGCCATGAGAAAATATCGCCGTCTACAGGAATAATGGATCACAACAAAACTATAAGCGATGATAAGTTGGCGGCAATTAGAGCATCTGAATCAAAAGAGAAGCGAAAACAATCGACTTTAGGAGAATCTCTTTCTAAATTAGACACCACTGATGAACACAATTTAGGAGCACAAACTCCAGCGACAGATCACAGTCACTCGGACAATCACGCTCGTCGGGAGTCTTCTCGACTTTCTTTTAACTTTGGCAAAAAAACACGTTTGGAAAAGTTCAAAGTATTTAGCGACAAAGCTTCAGGTGGTGAGTTAATTACTTGTACTTTTATTTTGATTTTATTCAGAAATATTTTGGTGGTGTAGATTTCAAAATCAGAAACTGAAATTTGTATGCCGGCGAATGATCAAATGGGTTCTGATATTCTGGGCAGCTGACGTCACGAAATGCGTTGGGTTTCTTTGGTGATACAAAAGGTCTTTTTTTCGCTATATTAAACCTTTAGATAATAGTTTTGATGGGGATAAAAAACCACTGAATTATGTGTTCCGCGACACCAATGTAGAAAGCTGGAATTGGGATAGAGAGTATAATTATATTAGCACAAAATCTTGAAAAAAAAATTATTCCTTTTTTTTTGAGTGACTTAGGCTATGCTGTTAACCTTTATCAGTTTATGGGATATGATGGAAACAATGAAGAGCAATTAGTAGTTAAATATTACATTTATCAACAAACTAAATCTATCCTTAACCTCCACCTTCCAAATATTTTCCCCCTTTAAATTAAACCTCTTGTTGCTTAATATTTGATTCCAAGTTATTTATTCCCCCCCCTTAATTACCTCTCCAAAGATTTCCTCAACCACTAGCTAGTTACTATCTCTGAAACAATGCACTTCTACAAATCATTTTCTCTTTTGTTGAGCTGTGAACTCTTTGAAGGATATATTGTACAGTCTCACAATTGTACATACCAATTTTCTTTTGTTTCAAACTTTCAGAGAAAAAAAAGTCAGGGCTTGATGAAGATGATGACACTCAGAATGACAATGATAGTGAGTATTCGATTGTAATGGTTTGTTGTTTATTTTTTTTTTCTTAGTTATTTGTTAAGTTGTGTTAATTCTCCTTTACATGTTGAACTGTTAGGAGCTCAAATGTAAATGTTTCAAGCTTTGAAGGAGTGTAGTAAAACAAAACGTCAAGGATTCTATAACAATCAGCTGTGAAAATTAGTTTGCACTTTCAATACTCTTGCATTTTTCAACAGTTAAAATCATCATCTTTCTCTCATATTAATTAAGAACTGGGCCTACATTGTGCTCCTTAAAGCCACAATTGGTTTTGGTTGAGTCGGAAAAAGTTTTAAAGCTGACTTTACAGGGAATGTTTACAGTCTCATAAGCAAGCTTTTAACATCATTGGCGTGTACAGATTAATGAAGACAATTACTGGATACTTTACTGGTGTATAAATTACATTGTAGTTTGTGAATCTGGGAAAAATGCATCCTTTTTATTTTCATATTGTGCAATCATTTCACGATTTTTTTGTTGCCAAAGGATGATCTGAGGAAAAAAGTTTGAGCTTGGAGCTCTGGGGAGCCTGGGGGAGAGTATGATTTTAGTTACTTTTGAATGCTTTACAGTTTTATAATTTTACAGGAACTGTTGTTCATGAAATGCATTGGGTTATTCTGTTACTGAAATGTTTCTTTTCATGTTCACAGTTACTTCTGGTCATGGCGTTGGGCAACCGACGGTTATCAATTTTTCCTTACTCTCTAAGGCCTGTGAAGAAAAAGGTATTTGCAATGCATCAACATGTGATTTTCTGCCCATTTTTAACTCTTTTACCCTCTAGTAAGTAAAGTCTGTTTACGAGCCTAGTGGCCCATTAGGCCGTTGCTTAACTCCGGTTTCTGTAGCATGAAGCGACTAGGAGTATTTCTACTCCCCCCTGGATGGGATGCCAGTCCATCGCAGGGTTACCCCCAGCATTAATATAAGAGAGGCACTGTGAGAGTACAGTGTCTTGCCTAAGCACACAACACAATGTCCCGGCTGGGGCTCGAACCCAGACCACTCGATCCAGAGTCGAGCGCACTAACCGTGAGGCCACCGTGCCTCCACCTTTTACCCTCTAACATGTGAGTATCAGTCTCCTTCATGCTCTTTACAATGTCGTCATGTACATTTCCTTTAGTGCTGGCAAGGAGAATTCATTTCACAATCAAAGGTTCTCAGTTTGATGATCATTGCCTTCATTTTCATGATCTTTATGAATGATTCAGCAGTATTTTACTGGAAAGGAAAATTACATTGCTAGTCACTCCCATGCACTAGAATTTAAAGGTTATTAAATAAGAATTAATGTTCGCCAATGATGGTGACCTGTCTTTTCTGACTATTGAATAATGGCATTTTATTACACGACTCGGGCAGTCAGAGGGCCAATAACTAAAATCAACCAATCAAAATGCTCTATTGCTGGTCAATATTCTCTCAGTATTGGACCGGGCACTGTCCCAAATGGTCCCGAATGATACTGCACTTGTGTCCCTTTGAACTTTAGTCGTGTAATAAATCTCTTATAAACCAAGTTTGCTCGGGACTGTACTGGAAGAACATCGGCCCTTGGTCTTTCTTGTACAGACCGAGCGCAGCAAGGTCCGTACTGTCAAGACCTCGGGCCGATATTCTCCCAGTACGGCCCTCGCGCTTGGTTAGTAAGATATATGAATTCATGGTTATTCTTTAATCAAAACACAAGGATGGATACTTCATCAAGAGGATACTGATGATCTTGAGAGGCAGACGTTGTTGGAATGGGCTCGTTCAAGGTTGCAGCAAGTTATCAGAGAAAAGTAAGGCCACTTTACTTTGCACATATTTTCACCAGCTTTATAATTATACAATTTTTTTACAGGCCATAAGTTAAATGGTTAATTTATTGAATTGAATTAAGGGATCATGAATGATCGCATTGTAACTTGATCTCCATACAAACAAGTACTGGGTGATCAGGACACTGATTAATTATAGCAACTTGTAACTTAATATACACCTGTGTCAGTAATATAGTTTATTATCCAATTGTGCTTCGTAGAGTACTAATAACACGCGAGACGAGTATCAATATCACGCGATATTTATACTCCAGAAATTTCCGCGATTCGTCCACACTGAAACAACAATTTGGCGTGTTGGATAATAAATTTGTTATTAGACGTTTAGTTCACAGTATCGCTGAGTATTTTGACTCGTCCTACCGGCTCATCAAAATACGGCACAACTTGTAAAAATATTCAGCAATACTACAGAACAAAAGTTCTAAAATGATATATTTATTTGTGACCGCTTGCAGCCTGAGGCTGAATTACGGGTACAGTATAAGGTTGAGAACAGATGTCAGCATATCAGGCGCCTCTGGCAGCCGCTTCAGTCTATCGATCTCACCTTCCCACCCATCCCACCCTAGGGGAGGACATCCATCACACAGTAATCTCGTGTGTGGGAAATTAATGTCTCCTACCCCAACCCTGCAGGAGATGGGACCTCCATTCATTCGTCCCTATCTGAGAAAACTAGAATATCAAACCATTTCTTGATGTTATAGAAAGGTAGCAAATTATTCTCAATTATTTTAAGACCTAATGAGTGTTGGTTCAGCTGGGGCTCAAACCCTCGACCTCCCGCACAACAGTCCAGCGCACTATCCATTGGGCTACCTGGGCGGCAGTGAGCCGCAGGGTTGGATGTCAGAGAGAAGACATCCAACCTGTGATTGTTGTAACTCTTTTACAACATACAATTTTCTTTTCTCTCTTTCTTTGTCTACGTTAGAGAAGAAATGAAGGAAAAAGCAAGAGAGCTTAAGATAGATGGCCCACTGGTTATCAAGTTTTATGGTGACACCCATAGGGAGGCAGCTATGAAATACAAGAAAGGGGTGTCATGGGCAAAGCGGTGGAAAAATTTGTCTGAAGAAGACAAAAGACCAAAGTTCCTTACCTCTCTGCCTGATGGCACTGCCTTTTGCTAGTATCCTTTTTGTATTTATTTATAATGTGTATAATATAAATGTCACCTGTCTGACCTCCTACATTTTCTGAAAAACTGGTGACAATTCGACAATGTATATAATAAGTGTGTGTTGGCGCACAGGGTATGGTTTTGGAGGGCTTTCGTCTGGAACAGTGGTTATGCAAGTTTAATTTTTTAGCCCCTTAAACAATTTTTTTTTTCTGGACTGGAAGTACTTAGTCTATTAATCTTGAGCAGCTGATGTAAACCTGGAGGTATAAACTGTAAATAATGTTTTCGAATAGCAATTCTTAAACTTTGGTCTAGTAGAGGTATCTGCTGTAGCACCCTGATATGCAGAAATTTGTGTCATTGGTTGTAATTAATCAGGATGCATTATAAACTATTTATTTAATTATTAATTATTTTATGCTTGGCTCAGGGTTTGCAGGTCTTTGCAACACACTTCAACCCAGACTTCCCTTAGAAACTCTTCCCCAGAGCTTAAACAAGTTTCAGCATCATTTGTGTTGGAAAAATTATTGTTTCCTTAACATGATACCTTCAGTTACCCATCTGGTCGAATAGCAGTGTGTGCCAGTTATCCAGGCCCTAATATGCCGGGACAATACACTGTTGTCTATGGAGACTCGGCAGACAGCCCAATGCTGGCCACATTTGTGCCAGCTGGTCGGGGATGTTGTTACCACAAGAATGGAAGCATCAGGTAACATTGGTTGAGAAAGCAGTCTTTTATTCAGTGCTATTAAATCAAGAGTTGTAGAGACCCAATTAATCAAACAATACATTATCAGTCAATTAATGAATACATGTTCTCTATAGATTTGTTTCAACTACAAAATTTGGAGCAGTCATGGAAGAGGTAAGTACTTAGTAATGTTATGTATGATGGAAGTGCCTAACCTGTAGTTCACTATGAACTGTAGTTTTGTGAAAAACCCATGAAAGTCATTTCATGGCTCATGAATACTGCAAAATGAAAATTCATGGGGTTATTTCAAGCCCTGAATTTTCCATGAATTAGGGGAATTTTTTTCATGACCCATGAATTTCTTAAAGTCTACTTTCGTGACCCCATGAATTTCCCCTGAATGTCACCAGAGTGAATTCCATGACCCATTAATTTCTTTAAAAGCCAACTTTCATGACCCATGAATTTCTTTAAGTCTACTTTCATTACCCATGAATTTCCCCTGAAAGTCACCAGAATGAATTCTGTGACTCATTAATTTCTTTAAAAGCCTACTTTCATGACCCATGAATCTCTTTGACTCTACTTTCATGACCCATGAATTTCTTTACGTCTACTTTCATGACCCATTATTTTCTTTTACTCTACTTTCATGACCCATGAATTTCTTCAAGTCAACTTTACGACTCATTAATTTCCCATGAGAGTCACCAGAATGAATTCCATGACCCATTAATTTCTTTGAAAGCCTACTTTCATGACCTAATAGTTTCTTCAGAAAGTTACAGAATCAATTTCATGCCCCATGAATGGCAATCAAATAATTCCAAGAAATTCTCCATATCTTGAATGTAAAGATTTTAAGACAAGGAGTAATTTTAGAGGCTTAAAACTTTGGTTCAATAAAAGGTATGCTATACAAAATGTACCAAGAGACAAACATACATGTATATATATATGTTTATCACGAAATTTATTATTCAAACTAAGTTATAGTAATTCTTAACATAAATAGGCATTCTTTCATAAAGTAGCAGTCAGTTGTGTTAATTGCTAATTGTCAATAATAGATTTGCTTTCTAACCTCAAAGGCCTCTTGGATTCCATAATCGTAAAAGTTTTTATTGTGATGCAAAATGTCTCATGTCCACAGATCAGTGCCAAAATCATAAAACATAATCATAAACATGGGAACGCTTTGGAATGTGCACATACATTTGTAGGCGAGAGTTCCATCGCACCATAGTCGCTTTCTTCACTTGAACAAATGTTTCTTCGTTGAAGCGAAGGACTCGCGTCAGGGTTTCGAGTCTTTGTTTCCTCGATAACTTTTGGCCACAAATCGTCCACTTGTGGTACGTTAGATTCTTCTCGATTGTTTCTACACAGAGTGAGTTCACATTATTATTTATATCATCTTCAACACATGGATCCAGGGTTATGCATCGTCCAAACGTAGAGTAGTGTCGAAGAAGTCAGCAACTTTTGCCCGCTTCTGTTGAGACTGCAATCGGGCAAGCCAGCGGATTCTGTTTATTGGCCAATGACAATTCCCAAAATTTCCACGTGATCATACTCATGATCGGAAACAATGAAAACTCCGTTTAGCTCTCAGCTTTGAAAGGAACTTTTGATCGGTTAATGGCTGGTGTGCGTGCTCGTGATTTACTTAATGAACGTCTCTAAAGATGCATTTTACTGTTGTTCAGTGGGAAAACGAGAACAGCGTCAGTGGTCGTTGGCGCCGTGGAGTTAAAGGAAGGGACAACAGTTCACATATTGATTGGCCGATGCAAGGGTCAAACGGCCATTTATAAAGCTTCGATTTTGAAAGTTTGTGGTGATATTCGGTACGTGATCAAAACTGAAAATCGAATCGGTCACTTGCATGCCACAATTTCTTAAGCTTACGCTCTACGAGGAAATAAATCTATCAATAAGCTGAAGGTTTCAGGATTATTTTAGTCACGTTTTACAAGCTGCGAGCCCAGCGAAAAAAGGCAAACAGCTGTTTAGTCTACAGTTAAGGATAACTTCATTACAATTTATTGTTAGTTACAACAAGATTGTAATTCAAAAATAAATTATTCAACTGTAATTCAGCCCTTTAATCCCAAGAGTGTTAAGTCGAAATTGAGTAGAAATCTTTGAATTTCAATTTGCAGAATCAATAAAAACAAACAGTACAACATGAGAGTTAAATGTTGCTTGACAGCTTACGTTTGAATTTTAGCACACAAGAGTTTTATTGTATTGCAAGCATACAGCTACATATACACTGTAGTATAGTCTTTGGCACAAGTGAAGAGGAGACTTTTTCATTCCAAATTCATAGGGTCTCCAAGGAATTTTCATGGTGCTTGCATATTACCAAGAACCCCATGAAAACTAACTGGCTATTAACTTTCATGTGCCATGAAAATGCCATGGAGAGGCCATGAAAATTCAGGGAAATTTTTCATGGTCAATGAATCTTTTACATATTCACAGGATATTCATGGTCAGGATTTCCTACAACCCATTAAAACCTAATGAATTTTAACACCATGAATTTTTTTCACATGAAATTCATGGGTTTTTCAATACCTTTGAAAGGCCACGAAGTCACTTGACACAATGCTCCATAGATCGTGAATATGCAAATTTTCACAGGTTTTTCATGGGATTTTTCGTGTCTTTTTCATGGCACTGAGACCATGAAAAAGCTGTTGATTTAACCATGAAAATCCTGTGAAAAACCTGTGAATTTACCTTGAATAAATTCCCAAGATTTTCATGGGTTTTGATTTCATAGTGGTTGTTATTTTTACCTTCCTTAAATTTAGGCTCAGAAAAATGCCAGCATTTCATGTTTTCTCATGATCACCAGATTTTTTTTAGACTGAATGTCAAGTACATGTATGCTCACAAAATAGGCACTCTCGGCCTGAGGGGTCATAAGCAGACTAGAGATAGTACGTTTATGTCTAAGGGAAAAGAAGAGGCCTACATGTAGATGCATGTGACAAACCAAGGTGGTTTACCAATGGCTTTTACCTCGGTCTATTGATTTGCTGAGAAGAGTGGATTATTTCCAAAACAGAAATTCACTGGTTCATTTAATAATAATAATAATAATAATAATAATAATAATAATAATAGGTTTTATTTAGAGAGGGTGAAAACACTTAACAGTAGCCCTAAGACACTGATGCCGGACTGTGGCCCTCAAAAAATGCAACTTTAACGCAAAGTTTAAACTGGCTGTATTTTTATGGACCGCGATCTGGCCAATAGATCTCACTAAGAAAGGATGTTTCGCTAAAACATTAGCTGTTATGAAAAAGCTGAAGATGTTTCTTTTACGATTGCAACAAAGAACTTTTCTTAAACTCATTACGCAATTGAGATTAACTATTGTATTAGTTAAATAAAAGGGAACTCTTTAGCTACAATGTATCAATGTTATGTTATAAAACAAATGGTAAACACCACAGCGTACACTATTGAGTTATGGATGCACTTGGGAGGTTTGCTAAGCACTCAAGAAGCTAGAGTCGCTCTCGGCTATCGCCTCGAGCGACTCTTACGCTTCTTTCGTGCTTAACAACCTCCCGCGTGCATCCATAACTCAATAGTGTACGCTGTGATGTTTACCATTTGTTAAGTAGGAGACTGGGAATGAAGGGCAAGTGAAGGATGTTATTGAAGGATACTTAGGGTCAGAGAAATCATGCCAGCTGGGCTAATTGGTCACATACACCCACCATACCCAGTAAAAGGTCATTTATTTTGCAAGGGCTGTATAAACCAGATCAGAAATTGCAATTATAAGGCTTGAAAGCCTGGTTTAGTAATTTTTTATCTTTTGTGTTCCCTTGCAGATTTTTTTTTCTTGAAATATTTGTTAGTGTACAAGTTTTTCTTTTTTTATTTCTGACAATGTAACAAGCTCCCTTTCTCTTGCAATAAACAATGGTGCATCCCCATGTAGGTGGAGCTGGTGAATGTAATCTGCCTCATATTTAGTGGGACCCAGGTGAATTTAGGCAACAGTGCACTGAAATAGGATACATAGTGCTATGGGTGGAATTTTATATAAATGAAATTGTATATTGAATTTTCTTTTAATTTTTATTTCATTCCACAGCTGAATAGCTTCATCAATCTTCGCTGCGTAAGTCAAGCTGGTATAACTTTGTACTTCAGTTGTCAGAATGAGACAGCTAAGTTCCATGTTGGAATGCCACAAGGGTCAAAACCCGTCAAACTTACAGAACTGGTACAGTTATGTTTCAGATATGTTCTAAGTTTTAAATTTATCATTTTTGATTATGCAATCAGTCATTTCCGTTGTAACAACTTAGCCATGTCATCTCTTCATCACAGGGGTACCTTCAAACCAACATGAAGTTTTCATCAAATGCAGCCATGTTGGTATGTAATAATAGAATTTTTAGATGGTGACAAAAAGTATGATTAAAAGAAGAAAACATGATTTATGCATGTAGTGTGCATGTAGATGACTATTTCTGTAACGGCAGAGGCCAAATTTGTACCAAACTGTCATCCGAGTTTTACAACTTGTTTTGCATTTTGAGATCAACTGAAAGTACTTGAACTTTAATCTCCCCCATAGTCCATGAAGCCAAAGACAAAGAAAAAAGAAGAAAAGAGGAGAAGAAAAGCGCAGGTATTGGTTTTATTCAAACATTCTGCGCTGTGGGGTGGGGTGGGTTTGGTAGGGCTTGGATAGGGGTGTGGTGGTGAGGCGTGGCGTTGGTAAAGTAGTCTTCTAACTCCACGCTTGTTTGAACAGATACATGTATGAGAGGAGAAAAGAGAAAGCAACTTGATCCGATCATCGTTTTATATCTCCTTGTCGCTTTACTTACTGTCCCGTGACTCTTCAGGCCCCATTAGAGTGGGCACAGAGGTCTGAGTATCCCTTATCCTATTGATGTTTGGTCTGAACATCTCGTATCCCGTTAATTACTGTGGTTTGTATTCCTAAAATTGCAGCCTTATCCCGGATATCCCGTATTCTGCCAATTTCTACCATCAAGTAGTTTTCCTTATCATATAAGGGGCAAAGTTACTGAATTGTGATTGGTCGAGACAGAGGACATTCTTTCTTAATTTTTGTAATTGCCCCGGGCAAATTACTTGAAAATGATTGGCTGAAAATCGCTTAGCAACGGCTGCCAAGGTAAAGAAATTTCTGTTTGTTTTGTAACAATGGCGTCCCGTTTTGCGCGAGATCAGTAAGAAAACATTTTGCCCCTTATATTATAAACAAGTAATCACATGGTTCCTCGTAAAATTAAGGATTAATATCACTTGTGTTTTCGGAAGTTGCAGAAATTGCCCTCGTCGCTGCGCGACTCGGGCAATTTCNCGCGTGATATTAATCCTTAATTTTACTCGGCCCCATGCGATTACCTATACAAATTTCTCCTCTCCTGACACCTCACCCATGTAAGGAGTAGCCTTGTATCATTTTAAAGTAAGGGAGATTAAGAAATCAAGCCACGATTCATTTTTCCTCTTTTTTTACCAAACAGAAACTGAAAAATCCAGAAACTATCTCTGAAGAAGTACTCGAATTGCGGCAGCAGGAATTAGAGGAGAAGTTTCCGGAGAGAAAAGAACTGGATTTGGACGCACCATGGCAAATGGATTTGTTAAAACTCCAGAGGAAAGTAAAGTGAGTAAACCTTGTGAATAGCACTTAAGTTATCCTTTTAGCTCAGACTGAAGATCTAGAATCTCAGTGAAGGTTAGTTTTGTCTTCATTCATACAAGGAACTTATTTCTGACTATTCCAACTAGCGTTTTGTCCTTTTTGTTCTTTCTTTTGTCAGGGGCCTGATTTTTGACTGGATGGAACATTATCGTGCAGCTGTTGGCATTACCCCTCCACTCCGTTTTTCATTACGCTCAAAACGCCGCGCCATGTCACATTCCGCTCGATCAGTGCCTGGTGTTCTTCCTTCAGGATTCGAGGCGACAAGGGCCTCTATACGTCGATCTCCCTCAGCACCCCCCATTCCACACTCCAAAAGGAAATCTTGGTACCGTTCTAGGTCCCAGCTGGGTACTCGTCCGCATAGCTCAGCAGAGAAAAGCAAGCTTACGCGGATTGAGGACAGCAGAAGTGTCACTATTGAGGTACCTACCAGGGACATGCTAAGTTCAAGGATCGCAAGTAAAGGTCCCCCGGCAGTTTCAGGGTAAGAGGCTAAGTTAACCATCATTATGTTGTCTGCGTTTTTCATTATCTTCATATAAGGTTCTGTGATATCCAGTGTAACAGTTCAGAGACGTATAAGCTCTGTACAGACAAAGTTAAAAGAAAGAAGAGACTCATTGAGGTATAGCTTCTTCAACGTGAGTGAAAATTCGTTGAGCTTACATGTGGCATTTTATGTTTCCTCTCTCTCTCTCTCTCTCTCTCTCTCTCTCTCTCTCTCTCTCTCTTTCTCTCTCTTTCTCTCTCTGTGCAGTTCTCATAGTCCAACTCACACCACGCCACGGACCCCTTTCCGCTGTGGAGTGATACAACAGTCTCGGGTTGCCAGTCCTCCAAGAAGTGGGTGTCCTGTGTATCCTTTTTTAAACAAACCTGCTGATTTTATAAGTTAATACATTACTTCCTGCGGCACCAATGCAACAACAAAATTAAACAAAAGAAGGCCAAGAGGTTCTGTATACCCCTTTAGAGTTTTTATGGTACTAACGTTAAAAAAAAAAAAAAAATTGCTGCGTTAAATAGGTGGTGTGACTATGTCAAAACGACTAACTGAACAGCTGAATGTAAAGTTAAAATGACAACTTATCTTATTGCTGTGAACAAAGAAACACTTGGCCAGGGGAGCTGCCAACAGCTTGTGACTGACTGATAAACGTTTTGTTGGTTTACTTGTGTCCAAATCCTTGACTTGCAACTCAGCGCTTTGAGAGCTGAGATGCTTGGAGAGAAAGATCCACAATGCAGGTAAATTGTGATATTGATCATTTAGATTATTCTTATTATACCCATATCACTTGTCGCGGTTACAATTAATAGAAATCGTAACTAAAATTGAGATTTTTTCATCTAACTTTCCTTGTTTACAGATGTGATCGTCGGAAAATTCCTCTAGTGACTGACCTGGAATACGACTGTTTTATTACTGAGCACGTACCCAGGACCCAACTGCTGGTAGTCAGTGTCACGTCATCCCTGTAAGTGACTGTCGCGTTATGTTATTTTTCGACTTACTTGCGGCAGTTTGGATCGACAAATTTCATTAAAATGTTGCTCTTACTTCAGCTTCATACCCCGTTATGCTTTTCTGTTCGTCCATTCCCGAATGAATGGATGTGATTGCAGGTGACTTTCACGACTATGTAAATTTATAACATAACCAAAGTAAAGCGCGCGCTCTGATTGGTCAATTTAGCGTCCCCCATTTGCCCATGGGTGTACGCTGCTGACGTAAGCAAATGCAAAGACTACTTTTCCGCGCGCGCTTGTTTTTTCTGGTCACGTAAGATTTGTTAAATAAAAGGGAACTCTTTAGCTACAATGTATCAATGTTATGTCATAAAACAAATGGTAAACACCACAGCGTACACTATTGAGTTATGGATGCACTTGGGAGGTTTGCTAAGCACTCAAGAAGCTAGAGTCGCTCTCGGCTATCGCCTCGAGCGACTCTTACGTTTCTTTCGTGCTTAGCAACCTCCCGCGTGCATCCATAACTCAATAGTGTACGCTGTGGTGTTTACCATTTGTTAAGTAAAGAAAGAAACAGACTTAAAGAATGCTTGAAGGTGACATTATTGCAGCCATTCGGCCCCTTCACCTCAAAATTGTTTTTTTTTTTGTTTTTTCGGTCCTGTCATCAGCATTATTTTACAACGTGCATTCCTTTTCGCTCTGGACCCCGGCAGTTGTTCAAAAGGCGAATAACACTATCCAACGGATATGTTGTAGTTCGATTTTATCCTTGGTTCAAATTTTATTTTCCTTTGTTCCAAACTCATTATCATACATTAACAGGACCGAGAACAAAGGAAAATAAAATTCGAAACAAGGATGAAATTGAACTACAACAGATACATCGCTATCCAGCGGATAAGTGTCAACAAAACGTGCTTCGCCATCCGCTGGATAAATATTTATCAATGATTCAGTCGATAGTATTTTCACTCTTCCAACAACCGTAGTCTATAATAGATATTCTCATATTGTTTTTACAGACACCCCGATGCAAACCCGTGTGACACCATGCTGGATCAGCTATTCCACGAGAAAAACCGTAACAGGTCTCTGCCTTGTGTACAGGTAAACTTGCATCCTTCATCCTTTAGTTTATCGAAGGGTAACCATGGTAACTTAGTCAGTTCAGTTTCAAGCCTCCTAGTGGGAGCACTATCGCATAATTAGAGGTATCCCTGTGTTTCTGAACCCTTTCTTTAACGATTATGTCTTTCCTATAGCAGTGTTCCCTTATCCTTCATAAGTATCTCAACCTTTTTTTACATTATCCCCTCTCTCTCCCCCGCGACAGGCACAGAATGATCCTTTCCGATTGGTACGTTACGACATTTCATCAGCATCGCATTTTGGCACTCAGGCCCAGCCTCTTCTCCTCAGACGACATAACGCCGTTCCAGGAATGTTCTTGGTAAGGTTTGCACGGTCACTATTAGCTCTCTCGACTATTAATGCCTGTACCCACTAAGAGTGTTTCCTCTGCAATTTGAGTAACCCCTTCCCCC